TACCAGTCCTCTGGGCGGCTGATACTGAAGGTCGGTGTCCTTTTCGAGGGGAGGAATGTCCTCGACCCTCTTGGCTTCGGGGGCTTCTTGTCGGCTTGCTTCCCCTGATCTGGTGTATCTCTTTAAGTTCCCGTCCTTTATTAGGATTTCGATGGCATCCTTCAGGTGGATACAATCCTCCGTTACATGCCCGTGGCTCCGGTGGAAGCGACAGTACTTCGATTTGTCCACGTTTGGTTTTGCGGCCGTGGGCTTGGGGAACCGAACTCCTCCTTGGACGAATTCTGTTTTGGCACATTCTGCCAAGATGCGCTCGCGGGAAGCAACCAAGGCAGTGTACTCGGTGAAACGTCCCGCTGGGCCTCGCTGTTCGCGATGCTCCCGGGGTCGTTTTCCTCGCCGGCGGTCTCCTCCGCGGCGTGGATGGGCCTCTTCCCGAGACCCTCGGGGGATCTCTCGATCCCTAGTGTCGCGGGCAGAATTAGCCGCTTGCGTCTCCTCGAACCGGATATAATGAGCAGCCCGGTCGAGGAAGTCTTGGAGGGATGCTGGCCGATGGATGGCTACTGTCTCGTAGAATTTGGAGTCTCGGCGAAGGCCTTGTTCCATCAGGTACCACTTCATTTCATCAGTTGTTGTTACCTGGACGACTTCCCTGGTGAATCTCTCGATGTAGTTTCGGAGAGGCTCGTCGGGTCCTTGGATAATGGCGCCCAGGGCTGCCTCCGTTTTCGGGTGGCGTCTGGACGCGGTGAAATGTCGCGAGAACAAATCCTTCAGGACTCTCCAAGACGTGATAGATTCTGGCTCGAGGCTCTTGTACCATGTCATGGCACCCTTTCTGAGCGTGGTGGGGAAGAGTCTGCATTTGATGACTCCCTTGACGTTGCGGTAATCGAGCATGGCTTCGATGTCCTCTAAGTGGTCATCAGGGTCGGATGTCCCATCGTACGTCGATAGGACGGGGGGCTTTTCCATCCCGTATGGGATGGGGGCCGCCATGATTTCCCTGGACAGAGGTGTGCGGTAGTCCTCCTCGTCACTCAGGATAGGGGAGTGAGGGGGAATAGGCTCGCGTCGAGGGATGTTCGGAATTGTGACTCTTGGCTGGCGGAGCAGCGGTTCCGGTCTAGTATTCCGAGGCTCTCTGCGTTTTTCTTTCCGGGGAGGTGACCTCGGACACTTCTTGGAGGCCACTGGTAGGGGCCTCTCCAATTGGGGGCGACGACTCCGTGTCCTCGGCGAGGGGCTCCTCGAGTTCCCACGCAGGTCTTCCCGCGGAGGGGACCTGTGTGGGGCGCTGCCTTCTAGGCACCAATCCGCTCGCTCTGAATCACGAGCATTTGGTTCGTCTGGTTGATGGCTGCGAAAAATGCTACCACCGTGGGGTCAGCCCCGACCGGGACAGGGATTGGCTGGAAGACCGGCGGGTTCCTCGGGTGAGGCTCAGGATGCGGTGGTACCTCCTCGGAAGAGGGGGAGGCGGTCTGCCCGTCCCTTTCGTCAGTTTCGAAAGCCTGGGAAGTACCTATGTGTTTGTGTCCGTTGTTACCGGGGACAACGGCCAATTCGGGAACAACGTCGTCGTGGTGTGGGCTGTTCATGTTGAAAGATGATTGACAAGGAGAGGCTTTGGTTCGATGCTCGGATGGAACGGGGAAGCCTTAAGTTCCCACAGACGGCGCCACTGATCGTACCTGATCAGAAGGGTTGACAGCCGGCCACGTGTCGACGATATGGACTTGGATCAACGTCTTTGGGGAGAGAATGAGGGGGGTGTACCTGCAAGGCACTCCGATGCCAAAATGAGAATTGGATAGAGTGATAGCAAGAACAGAAAAGGTTAGAAAAAGTGTGTACCTGACCCTCTTGTGGAAGAGGGTATTTATAGAGAGACCTCAGCGCTGGGCCAACGGTCATTTGAGTTGGGCTGGGTGGGCAGGCCCAATCCAAATGACTGCTAGGGCTTACGTGGCGTAGTGAAGACCAGAACGTGGTCTTCGCCCTAGTCCAACTGTTCTGTGGTCTCCGGAAGGTGAGTTTGACCTATTCTTTCGGAGATGGGCAGTTGGTGGATGACGTGTCCCCGCGGAGGGGAGCGCGTGGAGAACGTGCGCGAGGCACGTTTGTCATGCCCGGTTATGTGCGTCCTTCCCGACAGAGACGCGTTATGCCCGTAATGGGCAGGTGGTAGGTGGTAAGTCCCCGAGGAGGGGTCCGGACGGGGACGATTTGGCTGGTGTGCCCACGCCCGGATGGTTGGCGTGACAACTCCTGGATGACGGGTGTGACCATGCCCGGATGGCCGTGAGATCATGCCCGGGTGGCTGGTTTGGGCCGTTTGACAGCATCGGACTGGGCCTGGTGGACTAAGCCGGGACCCAGTCCGAAACAAAAATTAAAGAAAAATACAAAAACATCTCTTCTAGATAAATTATATATATACAAAAACATCCCTTCTAAATAAGAGATTGTTTTATTTTGAAATAAACAGTAAAATAGAGGTGAAAAAAATTTGATAAAAAATAAACATTATATTTTATTAATAATATAGTCACTTAATATATAGTCAATTTTGAATTTATGAATTTATTAATTAATTATGTCACGCAAATGTAATAATTAGCGATATCACACCAAATTAGTAAACTTATGCACATTATTTTCCATCTTAAAAATGTTTAAATATATTTGAATTTCATCATTTTACGGTACATGTCAATAATTATTTTAATAAAATTAAGTTACAAAAAATTTAAAAGCATCTATCTAAATAAAGGGCATGTTTATTTTAAAATAAATAGTAAAATGAAAATGTAAAATAAAATAATTAAAATATATTTTGATTAAAAAATTATATTTTATTAATTATATACAGACTTAACATATATTTACTTTGAAGTTAATAACTTAATATGATACACTAAATTATTAAATTTAGTAACAGATTTAATGTCAAAATGTAACTGTAATTCACTCTATAAGTAGAACTATAGTGTAGGGCATACATAACTATATTGTAATATAATTATTTTATATCAATCTTTAAATGTTAAAAAAAAACTTCATTAAAGTGCATTAAACTATGTGGAACTCACTCTTTCAAGAGATGGAACTTATTCTTTAGATTTAGAGAACTTGAACAGAAAAACTGAATAATATAAGTTACTTCAGCTAAATCAAGAGTTCCGAACTTTTATCTATGTGTAATTTCATTCCCAAATTAACATGAGATAGCTAACACGCCTGTTTATCATCCTAACTTGAAAAGTATGAACAAAAATATTTAATCACATGTACAAATTTGATAAAAGTGAAGGCTAGGAAGAGAGAAAAGCCAAAAAGAAGAAGAAAGTATGAGAGAATAAAAGAAAATTGGAAAACTTGAAATTTTGAAATTTGAAACAAAGAGGTGAGGTAGCAGCTTGTTTTGAAGTTGAAATGTGAAATTAAGATGTGTCATGCTATAACAGAAGATGAGGATGATTAAATATGATCATTAATTGATTACTGAAATACCCTTTTGTTAAAGGAAATTGTGAGAACAAAAAAGATAAATTAAAAAATGAATGCAATTGAATTATAATGAGTTGATAGTAGACTAAATTAAAGGGTTGGTTTGGTTGAGCATAAATCATTTTCAACCTCTTCAATGATAGAGCAAATATAAAGTGATTATCTCATAGTTGGCTTAAATCGAAATTCACATGTGTCAATTACTCATTCCCTTTTGTGCACGCATGTGCTAATCATGTTTTTTCCTTTTGTGCATGCATTCTAATCACGTTTTTCCCTAGTGGCACAGATGATCCCACATATATGATCTTTGGTACTGTCGAGTGAAGCAATTGGTGTTATTTGATGGGGCATCATACAATGGCATGGAATTATGTCTTGGTTGATTAAGGTACTCTCTCCATCTCAAAATAAAAGTTTTTTAAGATTGTTACATATTCCTTAAATTAAAGAAACTAATGATTAAATCATTATATGTAACAATTTTATAAATTTATCCTTAATTGCTATTAATTGTCATAAATGTACAGTATAATGTAACAATTTGAAAATAGTATTAGATAATATTTATTAGTAGTGAAGTTGGCAAAAATTAACTAATGTTGCATTGAAAACTTAAAATAACTCTTATTTTTGAACAAATTTATTTGGATATAAAGACTCTTGTTTCAGAGGGAATACATAGGAACATGTTTTGTTTTAAAAAAAAAAAGTTAAGCAGAATGGTAGTTGTGACTTGTGACGAAGAGTTTCTAAAAGTATACGGAATATATTTCTGACACATAAATTTGATGTATTTTGAATGCTTTTGAAAATACATTTTTCTTTAGAGTGATATATGTCTTGGAATTGTCGAGGCACTATGTCAAGAAGCTTTTCCAACCTCTTAAAGGTTATCAAAATTTTTTTGGCGTTTCTCTATTATTCCTTCTCGAGACACATACCAGTGGTGCCCGTGTAACTCAAGTCATTAAGAAATTCAGTTTCTCGGATAGTTGTTTTATACTAGAAGCCCAGGGGCAATCTAGGAGTATTTGGTGCCTTTGGGGATACAAATATACGAAAAACAGAGGTCATTGATCAAACAAATTAATGCCACTATGCAGGAAAAGTCACTTGATCATTAGGCCAGTAGACAAAAAAGCAGAAAATATTTCCCCTCTGAGCAAGTGCACTGAAGAAGACAGCAATATAAAAACCTGCAATTTAATGGTAATTTGTAATATCTATATTTTTGGAACAGAACTGAATTTTCTTTATAACATGGCATGGAGAAATAACTAGCAAGTGGACAACACAATATAACGGAATGTTCAAATTCCAAACAGACAATGTCTCTTGCAGCGAACTAGAAAACAGTTCAATGTTGAGAAGGAAATGTTGCACAAAATTGGTAGCAACAAAATGTTTGTGAATATGTAGTTTACAAGTTTATTTGCATTTCATTCATATGAATTTCCCTCTAAACGACTTCTCAGTATATCTTACTTGCGATCTAAAGGGCCAAGCCTTCGTAAGCAATCAGCAAAATTGTTAACAAAACCAGCACACTTCAAAGGGTCTTTGATATGTTCCTTGTAACATGTTAACGAAGCAAGTCTCTCAGCCATGCAACGTTCAGGCTTTGGGTTTGGAAGCTTATACTCTTTCTCATGGAGATCCTTAGCCTTTTCGGTTACTTCCTGCAACATTTGCTCCTCCTGCTTCTGCAATCTTTCCAAAACCTTCTCACTTTCATGAAGCACGGACCGAATGCCTTCCAACTCTGACTGGGAAGGGTGTACTGGCAATGTTGCAGGTACATACAAAGGGGCCTGCACTGGCCATGCTGGAGCAGGTGCAATCTCGGTTTTTTCAGCTACATTGTATTGGGGCTTTTCAGTTTCTTTTGCCACCTTACGTTTGACCCTTCTAGTTTTCTTCTTTATCACTGGATCATCAACAAGCTTATTAACAAGGTCGTTGCTAATCTGAATTGTGAATTCACCCATGATGCTAGAAAGATATCAATATGGTAACTCCTGCACAATTTACCAGACATAAAGTATAAAGCTAGAGATATATTGATACTATACAGTAAGAAAGATTTTAAATAAAATAGGGGTTTGTGATATTTATAATTTCAAGATATTCCAACTAATTTTCGTGGCTTTTGTTTATGGGTAGCATTTTATGTCAGATTTATGACAAGTGTTCAAGGGTCAAATTTGTGAAGGCCAAGGACTCTTGATGAGTTACAGTTGGTAGTGAGAGTCATGCACAATGTTTTGGGAGTTGTTTTCTTGCAACTGGATTTCAGGTTAATTGTTTCAAGGATGTTATAGTTAATAATTGTAATTTAGTATTTCCTCAGACATGTATGATACAGCAGGTCATGAAATTTGAAACTTGGCCTGTAATATAAAAGCTAAAACTTAACCTATGTGTGGCAGATCCTCACTTACTATTGAAGCCAGAATCATCAAGAGATCTTCCTCTTTTCTGGTTTTTACACGGGGACCAGCCATTGGCTGTGTTTGATTCTCTCTTCTATCAAACTTTCTATATATTTTTCAAACCTTACATAGATTCTAGACTCTTTCCTTTACATAAAGGTGCAGATTATCTTTACACTGTAAATTAGTAACTAATTCCTCCATTAAGTTCCTAAATAAAGAGGAGAAAATCGAAAGTGGATGACAATTAACTTCAATTCACGTCAAGAAAGAATTTCTCAAGGAAAGGCATTATGCAGAGAAACTCAGCACTTCAGATACAGTTAGTTTTTCTCAACCCTCACAAAATACTTTTAAAAGAGGTGTTTGGTAAAGTAGAAGTTGGGTCTTATTGTCAGAATTGAAACAGAGTACTTAAATCAACATAACACTGAACTAGCTTTAAATTTTTATTTATGAAAAGCAAATTCATTGAAACAAGGCACAAGAAGCACCACAGTACATTTATCTTAACAAATGAGAGAGAACTCACATATTACAGAAGTAATAAAACCAAGCAAATCCAGATATTTCAGTAAGACTAGGAAAACCAGAAAAAATCAATCCTGGTCATATGCTTTTTGAAATTTTTATCCCACCAAACTCGCAAGACAACTCATCCTCGGCCTCCAACTTGGAGAAGGAGTATCGGAATCCTTTTGTTCTAAAGATCAGCCAGACCAAGTTCCAAGAAAGCCTCTTGATGTCTTCCACTATGTTTTACAGGCTTACAACTCAAAAAAATTATTCTTAAACACCCTCCCATTCACAACTTACCATATTGACCAAACACACCATACATTCATACCACAAATCTTTGTGGGTGTAGCCTGCCCCCACCAACCCACACACACACCCACACACACACACACACACAACAAACCATTAAGTTGATAGAATTAGAATGTGTTTATTGATTGGAGTGCATAACAGCACAAATCCCCATTCATCTTATCATCCCTCTCCATAAGTCCAAATATATAGGACATTAAAAGAACAAATGTCTCGCCTATTCTTCCTCTCTACAACCACCAATGCACCTAACTTTGTTGCTACCAATAATACATCTTTTCAATAGGTTATCCCATGAACTAGCTCTAAAATGTATTTAATTTGCTTACAACTTTGATTGAAATCACTTGCAACACAAACCATTGTATGCTATAACCATTGTGTGCTATAACTATTGTATGCTATATCTGTCAACTTTTTTCATTCTAACTTTGACGTTATCATTATAGTAAATTGAGTCAATAGGTGTGGTGTGATAAATTCAAAAATTTCCGTTTACCTTGAGAAAATGTTTTCCATTTCATTTCCAGTTTTTCTTTTTATATTACTAGAGGGGAAACAAAAAAAAAAAAAAAAAATCTCGAAATGAACAGTCCTTAGATCGAATTGCAAACTGGAAGCTTAAAACTAACCTGGAAACAGAATTCTTTTCGAGTTGTTTCAACTTTTAAAAGTCAAATAAAAACTAGCTTTATAAATTTGAATTGATTCAGTCTTGAATTTGGCAGAACAAAACCTAATTCACACTTAACCCTCACCAATCATACTTAATCCCTTTACTTGCTAAACCTAATTAAGCATTCAGACTTCGAAAATTTTGTGCAATGCACATAAGCAGTAACAGTTATGAAAAATCAAACATGTGTATGTGCCATTAAAAAACCTAAAACACATTGAACTACACAATACATTCTCAAAAGTACATCCGTAAACGTAGAAATGAATTATCATATGTTGCCAATCGCATATCCGCGGTGCAGAGGCGAGCTATGCTGCGGTGCGGTGCCTTGTACAGGAGTCGCTATCGCGGCCGCAAATCGCTGTGGAATCTCATCCTCGCGCGGGCCGTACTGTGAGAGGGGAAGGGAAATTCGAAAAGGATGAAAAAAAGAAAGGAAGAGGAAAACCTTCGATAGCGCTTCCACTGCTTTCGACTGTCCTTCCTACGACGGCGAACTCCGCCTGCGTTGAGATCAGTGCGACTCCAACTTCTATCTGACACAAGGGAAAAGCTTCAGCTCCTGCATTTTGTTTATTTTGTTTTTTTTTTTTTTTTGGCTTAGATGCTGAGTTTTGTTATTTTAGGTATATTTGGCAAAGGATTTTGGATAAATAATTCTTGTTTAAAAAATACTATAAAATGTTTTGAAAAAATTAAATGTGATTTGATGTTATATAATCTTACGTTTAATATCCATTTTTCTCTTATGCGAATTGAAAAAATGTCTCATTAAAATGTTTTGAAAAAATTAAATGTGATTTTATTTGAATAATTACATGTAATTATTTTTGAATTCGGCTGTATAGGGTATCTTCATTCGATAAAACATTCTTATTCAACGATGTTTCGGAGAAAATTTTACTCCATACTCCTATATTTTAAAAAAATACTAATTTTATTTCTGTCTATTTTTTATTTTTTTATTTTTAAGTGTCCTATCAGATTTTCAGATTTTCGAAAAATTCACTCAACAAATTATTCAGAACACTTTTAAAATGACTTGGAAGAGTTAAACAAAGACTTCCGGTTGGAGTTTTACGTAGAAATCTTCCGGAAGACTATATCTCATGTCTTCCGATTTGGTAGTATTATTTACCGAAACACTTGTCTTAAGAGTTTCAGTATGAAGGGAAAGTGTACCGGAACACTTTTTACAAGTCTTCCAGTTTATTATCTTTGTCTATCGGAACTCTTTTCCTGAGTCTTCCGATTTGCTTTTGTAATTTATTTTTTTAAATTTATTTTATGCAGGTACAGAAATTTCTTCACAAATTTGCGATAAAGATCAGATATGTGTAGATACATCTGATGTTCTTTCAACTACTCAAAGATTTGGTACACGAGAAGAGTTGATAAGATGGATTAAAGAGATCGGAATTCAAAATAAAGTAACAGTTATCATCACTCGTTCAGATATTGAAACAGGCAAGAGAGGTATTTTTGAATTTGGATATATACATGTATCTTTATGAACAGGTTCGGCGACAACAGAGGAGGAAACATCGCCATCCGGTTCATCCACCTGCAGAATCATGTATTGGCGATTCGGACATTTGTGCTTCCACGAGAATTTATCGTCGCAAGTAAAGCACAACCCCTTTTCCCGTCGCAGTTGCATTTCTGCTGCCGACAATTTCTTCACTGGTGGCAGAGGCTTAGTTGGAGGAGACGGAAGGAGAGGCGGCAATGCAGATTTAGTTGACGTAAGTGAAGGAGAAGATTAATTGGACAGAGAGGTCCGCATCGATGAGGAAGGCACCATTGGTTTTTCTCGTGCAACCGAACTCTGTAACAGGTAGCGCTCGTCAAATGAACGAGCCAGTGATGCAGCTCGTATATAAAACATTCTTATTCAATGTTGTTTCGGAGAAAATTTTACCCCATACCCCTACATTTTTTAAAAATACCAATTTTATCCCTGTCTATTTTTTATTATTTTATTTTTTTACTTTTTAGTGTCCTGTCAGATTTTCAAAGTTCCGAAAAATTCACCCAACAAGTCGTTCGTAACACTTTAAAATGACTTCAGCTATGTTGTTTTTTTCAAACCGGAAGACTTTGGCTAAGAGTTCAAGTTTATACAAAATATGTACCGGAAGAGTTAAACAAAGACTTCCGGTTTGAGTTTTACGTAGAAATCTTCCGGAAGACTATATGTCATGTCTTCCGGTTTGGTAGTATTATTTACCAAAACACTTTTCTTAAGAGTTTCGGTATGAAGGGAAAGTGTACCGGAACACTTTTTACAAGTCTTCCAGTTTATTATCTTTGTCTATCAGAACTCTTTTCTTGAGTCTTCCGGTTTGTTTTTGTAAAAAAAAATTTATAATTTTTTTAAATTCAGGTACAAAAATTCCTTCACAAATATGCGATAAAGATCAGATATGTGTAGATACGTCTGATGTTTTTTCAACTACTCAAAGATTTGATACACGAGAAGAGGTGATAATATGGATTAAAAAGATCGGAATCCGAAATAAAGTAACGGTTATCATCACTCGTTCAGATATTGAAACAAGCAAGAGAGGTATTTTTGAATTTGGTTGTATACATGTATCTTTATCCGATAAAACATTCTTATTCAACGTTGTTTCGGAGAAAATTTTACCCCATACCTCTACATTTTTTAAAAATACTCATTTTATCCATGTCTATTTTTTATTTTATTTTTTTTACTTTTTACTGTCCTGACAGATTTTCAGAGTTCCGAAAAATTCACCCATCAAGTCGTTCGGAACACTTTTAAAATGACTTTTGGTGTGTTGTTTTTTCCAAACCGGAAGACTTTGGCTAAGAGTTCTGGTTTATACAAAATACGTACCGGAAGAGTTAAACAAAGACTTCCAGTTTGAGTTTTACGTAGAAATCTTCCCGAAGACTATATGTCATGTCTTCCGGTTTGGTAGTATTATTTACCGGAACACCTGTCTTAAGAGTTTCGATATGAAGGGAAAGTGTACCGGAACACTTTTTACAAGTCTTCTAGTTTATAATCTTTGTCTAT